ACCTGCCCCCTGTCCTGGAGCCGGCCCTCTCCCGCCGCCTCCTCCCGTGAGGAGCTGGTTCATCCCCACTTAACTGGCAGAAAACTTTTAACCTCCTCTAGGTACTACAGTTTTTTAGCAAAGTGGCCCAGGCCCCTTCTGGTCCAGGCTTCGCCGAGCGGGCCAAGAGCGAAGAACGCAAACTTGACAAAAAAGTCAAGTTTGGGATCGTTGTGCTGAACAGGCACCATCCGCTACCCGCTTTTTTATCCTTTGGTAACTGGGAGAAGGATGAGCAGCAGGAACAGGTCACGGGGACGGGCAGCAGCCCCGGCAGCTGGGCTGGGGTGGGATGCCACGTTCCCGGGACCTGTTCGCGCTCAGGGAGCTCGGTGTGGTCTGGCTAGCTGCTGGGCGGTACGGCCACCCAGGAGGTATGGCAGGAGATGGACCATCGGTGTTGGTTTTGTGCTTAATGTGGTTAATTCTGAAAGTATCTGCTGGTGTTGGAGCTCTCTTTGAATGAAAGTTAGCCACAGAATTCTCAAAACCAGAATCTGCGGTACCTTAGAAGACATGTCAAAAAGATAAAGAGGAGAAGAACATGCTGTAAAAGTAATGACTGCCACTAAGAGGTCATAAACTTCCTTCCAGATAGTCTTTTTACCTATCTAACTGCCTTCTGCTACAAGTGAAAGAAATAACATTTATTAGTCATTATTTGCAAATTTAAGTGAGCCAAAATCTAAGCTTTTTTTCACTTTTCTAATTGTTTAATATACCCATTGTTTTTCTATAGATATAACTTGGAGGAATAACATAAATTATGCTTTTGTTTTAGGCAGAGAGGAAAAAAATTGTATGCCTCTTTGTGGAGGTGTGAGTTTTCCTTCATTCTTCAGGTATATATTTATGACATATTTAATAGAGGCAGGTGAAACTAAATGAAGGTCTGAATTCAGAATGTGCTAGTTAAGCTGAAATCAAAGTCATGTTGAAATGAATGAAACTGGAGTAAATTTAGCTGCTCTTCTGAAAAAGAATGCTCACAGAAGAGATTTGATATGCTTTGACACTTCATATTAGTTTAATTTGATTTATTTAACGGGCTGATCACATAAGCTCAAAGTTCAAATTTTGAGATTACTTATTAACTTTTTTTAATTTGACCTTTCTTTGCAGTGGGTTTTGTTATGTGGTTAGAATTTTTCATTTTTTACCGTTTTTTCCCCCTACAAAAGCTTATGTGCTCTTCTGACTTGTTGAGAACGCTTTACTGCTGTGTTCCAAACTGATCATGAAGTTTTCTGTTTTTCCCTTTTTTTTTTTTTAACCTTGCTTTACAAAGAAATTTTATACAATGTTATTATCCTACATGATAATGTAGGATAATACATTGTGATGTGTAATGTCACAAATGTTCAGCTTTGGTTTGAGATTCTGTGTCATTCGCCATTCTCATGGCTCATTACTCATTTCCGATGAAGTTTCTATTACCCACAGGTTTAATGTCTTGACCTAAAAGGATTTAAGACATTTGATTTCTTCTGTTCATTAGAAGGTGTCCTGAGAAATTTATGCAGGTATAAATAATGTTAGCTGAAATTCTCTGCAGTTTTTGAATGATAATGCATGGAAAAATACTTCATATTTGCATTTTACTCATTTTTTTGTGTAATGTACTTGCGAAAACACATGTTGCTCTACCAAGGTCTATAAAACTTAGGCCGTCTTCAGAGACAAATCATTTTATCTGGGACTTACTTCTCTTACATGTGTTCAGACATAAATAAGAGGATCGCTACAATTGAAACAGCTTAAAATATGACTGACTTACAGTGGAAAGATTTTATCAGGTCTACAGTGAGAACTTATGTTTTCCTTCATGTACAAGTTTAGAATATATATAAGGATTTGCGGAAGTGTAGTTTCTCTAGCAGTTGTAAGGAGTCCAGCCAAGGGGAAGAGCCTGAGAGGAGAATTTTAACCTCAAAAGGAAGGTCCAGCTGTTACTACTCTGGCACTAGTCACACAGGGAGCTCTATTTAAGAAGTTATCTTCTCCAGGTTCTGCGACATTCTTTGCCTGATTGGATAGGTGCTACAAGTGAAAATTAAAAATAAATTAATTAAAAAAAAAAAAAAAAAAGGGGGGGGGGGGTTTCTATGGGGGAACTATGGAAGTGAGAAAACACACAAAGCAGGCTGAAAATGCTCAGAGTAAGAAAAGTTCCAGGGAAAATGTTGCCTGTTTCGATTACTTCTTTTGAAGTTTCTTCATATGACTTTATAAAAAGAATTGCTTCTAATAAAAGTTAGTGCAACCTGTCCTGAATCTTACAGATCTAAAATATATGTAGAATTGCAAGATTGCTGTGAAAAGACTTAATAGGGTCTTAAATATGCTTATTTTAAAACTATACAGAATAACTACCATGTTCTTCTCGCAGTAACAGTACTAACAGAGAACAAATTCTCTTAAGTAACAGTTGTGTGTGTGAGTCGCCTGATTAGTTTGCCCTGTATTAATTTGTCTTAATTTTACATAGATCTGTGACAACCTTAAACAGGGAGAAATAGACTCTATAGGAAATGTCAGGGGAGGAGAGGGAAGGGATTCAACCACTTAAACTAGCTAGGTTGCACCTTTTAACTTCAAGTGGTGGCTCTGTTTCAGTATTTTGAAAGAGATGCTGTAATGCTGACGCTGTTTCTAATGGGTCATTAACACTGGCCTTCCCAGGAATAACAAAGCAGTTGTCAGAAACAAACACTAAATATTCTTGAAAAGCCCCTAAGCTATCATAGAAATGCATAGCTATGGGTAAAGTACACATATATGCTTTAGATTTATACTTCTGTTTGAAATATTACTTTTGCTCCTGTACTCAGCAGAACACCTAGTGAGCTTCTACTGTGTCGCTAAACGTGTCACGAGCAGAACAAAATGCTTCTGTAAATTGCATGTGTTGTTTAAAATATTTCCCAAGAAAAATGAACAAAACTATCTCTGTTAAAAAACACCAATTTTAAGCCTGCAAATGTGTCACTGTATTTAAACAAGCAACATTTCACTTATATCTGAAATATCGAGTTTGTTTCATTTTAGCCCGCAAATTCACAGACAAACACGAATGGATATCAGTCGAAAATGGCATTGGAACAGTAGGAATCAGCAATTTTGCACAGGTATCGATCTCTTCCCCCTTACCCAAGTCTGCAATATTTATTTATGCGTACCTGCTCTTGTCCTTGCTCTTTGGACAGTTACTGTTTTTTATTGTTCAGATTGCATATTCTATACACTGAGTGCGATTTTTGGACTTGGATCTATCACATTATTTGTGAAGTGAATGCTGCTTCAGCATTCTGATAAATTCTTAATCACTTCAGGTTGAGCCTATGGACAGCTGAACTTCATGAGAAATTTAATGGTTTAGCAGAATTTAAAACCTCCTTTATTACTTCAGTTCTTATAGGCCTGAGGAGTTTGTGTCTATGTGAAGGGGATATCATGTGCTTTTTAGGCCAAATTTCCCTTGAATGTGAATATGGTGCAATCCCTCTGGCTAAAGAACAATTGTGAAGAGAAGTACAATGTGGAATATATTTCGTACTCTAGGATAGGAATTCCTTTGGATTTTTTCTGTTGTTTTGTTCTCATGGAAGTACTTGATTTGGAATAGTGACAGGCAAATTCAGGACAGAGATTCACTACATGTGAAAATCAAGAAAATCTAACATGAGAAGCTATCAATGAAATGGAATTAATGTTTCTTACAACAAGCAGCATTTCCCGTAATCTCAGTTTTCTGTAAATAACACTAATACTCTGTAAGATCCCTAATCTTTTTTGAGATAGATTTGTCAGTGAAGAGGCAGAAGCCTGTTCTGGTTGAGCTGATTCTTATGGTGATAAGGCTCCCTATTAAGTCAGTAAGGACAAACTATGCTAACAGGTCTCCAGTTGTCCCTGTCTCTGGGGAGGAATGATTGCATTTTCTTTCAAATTGCACTGGAAGTAAATCCTGTGCTTTGTAACAAAAAGATAATTCCCTCAAATCATTGGGAACTTTGTCCTTTAAAACAGTTGTTACTCTAGCTGATGCTAAGAAGATCAGCAGATGTTATTTCTCGTTCTACTAAAAGAAATCTGTATATAAGCCTTGTAACTCAGCCTGAGGTTTATTAACACTGTAATAGGTAAACAGTAATTTGGCATTTGGGGCATGATAACAAAACTGTTTTTTCAAGTTAAATGTTTAAAAAGAAAAAATGAAAAATATGCAGTCCTTAAAGAATGAGAACTAAATTTCTAGACAGATTACTTATACGCAGATTCTAGAGTTTCTGTATCAGATCTCTCCTATGTATAGTTTCTTTAGTGTATGCTTTGATGTTTTTGTTTTTTTCTTTTAAGGAAGCATTAGGAGACGTTGTTTACTGTAGTCTTCCAGAAATTGGGACAAAATTGAGTAAACATGGTAAGTTTCAGCTGTAATTTCTAATGAAGTAATTATTCTACTCATCCTTCTCTCCCTTCCCCAACAGACAGCTTTAATTTCCAGTTCTCACTGTCAGGCCATGCATGGTAGCAGAAAGTACCTGCTCATTAAACTGAAAACATTTATTTAAAAATAAAATATTTGAAATATCTTTTGTAATAATTTTATCTATTTTCTGGTTTTAAAATATGTATGCTTTGATTTGGACTTGTTAGTGTTTAGGCTGGCTTATATGTATTTCTGCAGTTATGCATTTCATGAGTTGCACAATGTGAAACATCTAATTTATATTAAGCTCTGATTTTTCTGTGAATATACAGACCCAGTAATTTTGGGGTACCAACTGTAATCACGGGTTTTTGCTCATTAGTGACGTACAAATTGTTACATTAATTGTTCAGTTATGTAATTTTCCATGTTAAAGAAGAGTGAGCATTAACAGGTAGAAAGGAAAGGCCTATTCCTGTATTTACAGGGAGAGCTGTCTTACTAGTATATGAAGAAAAGATTGTCATTAGCTTCAGATGTTGCAGAAAAAGAATATAGATTTACTGAGGTTAAGTCGGAGGCCTTTCTTTCGCCATCCTCCTTGTGGAATACGTCTGTATCAAACTGTTTTGGCCAAATCTATTACACTGCGTTGAATGGAGAATGTTAGACAAAAGGTCTTTCTGCTTAGGGTTTTAATTAACCAACTTGTAGTTTTGTTTTATCTGAAGGAATTTCATTTCCATTTAGTTCTTCTCTTTTCTACCCGTTCTGGCCTTATTCTGATTCCAAGCTTTCCCAGAACATGTTGTTCTCTGATTCCTTGTGGTGATGTCTACCTACTCCTCTGACAGCTCTGTGTTCCTCCAGCCTCTGTCTTGTTTGCTTGTGGCTTAGAGTTACTCTGGACCAACACTGCTCCAGGCACCATTTCCATAACTGCCTACAAAATAGAAAAAAGGGAAGAGCAGCTGGGTGATTCCCGCATGGTGCTTCTGAATACTAATGCGTGTTTTCCAGTGAGTGCAAATGTAACACTTCATAGTGTTTCTGAAGAAAAACTGGGATTCCTAAAATTGTGGCTGTGTCTATTTTGTAACCAAATTATGTATAAAAAGGCTTAAATTTTAGATAAATTGCTTGCTTACAGCAAGAGCTGGATGTGATTCCTTCTAACCTGATATATCGTATATGCTGTAAGGCTTTAGCCAAAGGTAAGAAATTTCCATCCCTTCTGTAGCAGCCAGCTAGCTAGGACTATGCAAGTTCCCCAGAATAATTCAGGAGCATAAACATCAAATTTAATACTGCTGATCATTGTCATAAAGTTGGTGACTTCAGTCTCTGACAGTTTTCCTTGCTCAAGATCAAGACACTCCTTCAATGGCTAAGTCATCACCAGAATGTCAGACTAGAAAAACTAAAGCACTTTGTATTTTCCTCTTAAAAGCGTTCAATCATACTCTGTTTTTCAGATGAGTTTGGAGCTTTGGAAAGTGTGAAAGCTGCTAGTGAGCTCTACTCTCCTCTATCAGGAGAAGTGACTGAGATTAATACTGCCCTCGCAGATAATCCAGGGCTCGTCAATAAATCTTGTTATCAAGATGGTAAGATGTCATTTTTATCTTTCAATAATGAACACCACCTGGATTCTTGCCATCACAAATGGTTATGCATTTCCTAGTTCTCCCAGTTTAATGGTGTGGAGGCTTAGATGGAGTATATTGTGTGTAGTTCAAGCCCAATAAAATTTAACATGAAAGTATTATTGTAGTTGTATCTTTGCTGACAGATGTTTTACAATGTGTTCTTTTCAGACATAGACTGTGGTTGAATTTAAATCTATTTCTCTTGATTGTGTTTCTCTTTCGGTCTTGTAACAGCTCATGATAGTGAGAGGTCAGGCTCTTTTACTCTTTCTAGACAGTGTCTCCTTAACACCACTGTCAGAGACAGTACTAAATTAAGACCACCGGTCTGACTCAAAAAGCCGTGTCTTATGACAGATTTTTTGTTTGTTTTTTTTAAAGTATTGAAACATTGTTTTGCCTGCACAAGAAGCCCTGATGATTCTACCAGTGTTAGAGGGCTTGTATGCCTACTGGGAGTACTTTCCTGAGGCAGTAACATGAATGAGTCTTTCTTGCAGGATATTAGCAACTGTTTTTCTTTTTAATTTCCTGACTACAGGTTGGCTTATCAAGATGACTGTGGAAAACCCTGCGGAACTTGATGAACTGATGAATGAAGATGCCTATGAGAAATACGTAAAATCCATTGAGGACTGAGCTGGAATAATGAAATAAATCCATATAAAATATTTCAGTGTAGTTTGTCATCAATCAGTGAAGTACAGAGTATCCACTTTTGGCAACCTGAAAAATGCCACTTATGATCACATATACAAGGCCATATATAATTGCAGGGATAAAAATGTTTAATATCTGCATACCTGCAAGGTTTTGGGGTTTTTTTATTCTTTTGTCTGATTTAGGTAACTTCAGGATGTTATCTCAAATATTTGGGGAAACAAAATTTATTTGCTAAAATAGATACTTCCCAGGATTCATTTGACAACTAAACTTAGTAACAACAGCCTTAATATGGTAATTCTGTAGTAGGCACATGACTGTTCTTGTAACCTGGACTACAGCTTTCCCTAAGATACTTTTCTATTGCTCCCAAGATATTGAAAAGCAGTGTCTCCCTAACCTCCTAATATTTTTCCTAGTTATAGTTGCCCAGATGATACCAAAAAAGGAGAAGCCATGTGAACTACCTCTCTGCATGATTTTTACTTCTTTACAGAATTTATTAATCCTTTGTTTTCCTTCTTCATTTTACTATGTAATCAAATAGTTTTACCTTTGAGGCAGAAGGTATGGTCCTTGTCTTCTGATTTATATGCTTTCTTAGTATGGAAAAGTCATACAATGATCATTTATCAAGGTTCTAGAGTGGGTTGTTTAGGCTATATTTTTCATCTAGTAAACACTACCTATGTCACAGGTAATTAAGGAATTCTACATTTTGTGCCTAGCAATTGTGATGATTTCAGAAGACTACATATTTGTGAAAATTGTGTGATCAGTAACAGTTTGACATAGAATGTATCCATGTGTGTCTGTCTTAAGATCAAGTAAGCACACTGCTGTAATGACATCACAGGAATGAAACTAAAACTTTCACTTTGTAAACTAGTAAACTAAAGCAGCTGATTCCATTAGACTTAATATTTAATGAACCCACAAATGTGCACTCAAAGTTGATGTGACATCTATGGGCAAGGTTGAGTTGTACAGACAGACCTGCACTTTAGGAAAACATAATAATATAGCAGAGTTTTGGTCTAAAACTTTTTTCTATGATTTTAAAATAGTGATTAGAAGCTAAGCACAAAACAGGAACGAAAACCAAGTATCTGTAAGTTGATCTAAGAGGAAGCAGGGGAATGTTTAATCCATATAAGATGACAAAGGCAAAATTCATATTGCTTTGGAAGTTCCTTTCAAAAGCACAACCCTTCTAAAGGGCAGAAATACACTGCAGGTTATACAGAAACCTTTTCTAATGTGGAAAAAGGTAGGGCTTTCTTCTGAGATCTGAAGGGATGTCAAAGTAACTGGTGTTTTTTTGAAATCCTAGGAGCTAATTTTCCTTACACAAGTCACAGATAAAAGCCCTACCATGAGAGCCTCCACTGTGTGTTTAAGATAAAACTGTCTTCTCCAGAGGAGTTAAACTGCAAAGTGACTAAGAGGGGAGAGTGGGTTTGCCTGTTCCACAGGAGTCCTAACTTGGCTGTGGTTGATAAACAAGAGGCTCCAGTAAACCTAGTGTAAATGCTTTAAAACCTGTCAGTGCTTATCCATTATTCACAGCCTCATGCAGTATTTATTGTGACAACATTTGGGGCCTGGAGAGCTGGGAGAGCTCGATCCTGGCCTCTTACGGGCTCCCTGTGCCACTGGGGAGCTGCGACCTTCCTGTGCACTTTCCAAAGGGAACGAGAACGTTTG